TCCATAAACACTATAAACTAAGGAGACCCTCGGTACTAGCATCTAGAAGTTTGCGTCCCAACACCAAGACATGACTGTGAGTGACGCCAAATTATAGGGCTGCGAGAAATGTGACCATCTGCCGTTCTTTAATGCGCAGGGACATTGAACATTACGCTGGCTTCTACTGTTTCGCTTCTGCTGAAATGCGACCGCAGCGGCCACGATCAAAACCGCGACCAGAGGGTCAGCAGCCGAGCTTTATAACAGATACCCTTGTCGCACGGGCACGCTGACCATCACTACGATGAACCTCAGTTCACGTTTCTACTTTAGTTGTGAAACTGAGCAGCACGTGACTTTCATCGCGCGAAAAGTTATCGTTAGTTTGCGACGTTAAGCAAGTGACTTGTCACTCGGCTTTGCTATCAAATATAGAAACGCACGCATCCGCAGTCACACTCTCCTCCATATATAGACCTTCTAGCTGTAACCCTTCCACCTCAGCCCCTAAACTCACTCCGTGCTCATACGAATGTTCTCCGGCAGGATGCGCGTGATCTTATCCCACTTTTTGTCTGCTCTCTTCCCCCTCATCTTACTAGGGCAGAGGAAGTTGTGCTTAGGAGGCTTCGGGCAGGCATGGCCCTTACACCGGCCGTTATATCATCATGGAACTGGTCGCACTTTACAGCTGGTGATACGTGTCCGTATCGTACCATTCCAGTGATGCGAGCAGACGCATACCACCTTATATGGACATGTCAGGGGTTAAACCCGAAACGCTCCCGTCACATCTTTCTAGCTGGCCTTCGCTACAGCGACACAACCAGTTACAGCTGCTGGATACATGACAGCACTTTCCTCAAGACGTTACTTCATACACGACACTGACCTATCGGCGCATATTTAATACACATACACGGAAAAAAATTATGCCTTCAGGGTAGGTCTATCTCGCAACAAATAATGATAAACCTTGGGGTCTGCAGTGACGAGAACCACCAGGCTCTTGGATTGAACAGAGACAGCAGACGTGGTCTGAAAAAACCGAAACAACACACATTTATTTAACTGCTTTCAGAACGACGGAATCGTCAGCCGAAATACGATCACATCAATCGTGATCAACACGCTAAGGCATCCTTCCACAATTTTAAACAACAATCAACAACATGACAAAGAAGGTGGAGTCGCTAACGCCTGACTCCCCGCGTTGGCCTACCGCTGACGGCCCACGGTGCCGTCCACGCCAGACCCGCCACTGGAGGCAATCGTCTGCGCTACTGCCACAAGAAAGCAGCTTATTTCTCGCTCGCCGCCATCAAGGCTTTACGCCAGGCGTCGCCGCCGGCGCTAACGTTTTTCTAACCATGATGTTGATGATAGTGGTGATCAATGGATGGATGGACGGACGGACGGACGGACGGACGGACGGATGGATGGATGGATGGATGGATGGATGGATGGATGGATGGATGGATGGACGGACGGACGGATGGACGAACGGACGGACGAATGGACGGAAGGGCGGACGGATGGACGGATGGATGGATGGATGGATGTGGCTGTACCCTTTAGATCGGGTGGTGGCAAACGCCACCTAGCCATAATACTTGATGAACCAACAACTAGATTTATCTTTTTTCCCTTTAAATACTGAAGTTTAGGACTATTTTGCCCTCGCTTTCCCTTAAACCATAGTGCTTTGAAAAACTCTGCACCATCATCCTGAACTATATAGGGTGAAGCCTTTTACAGAGCGTTTTGAGGCGTTTGGCAGTTTCCTCCTCCCCCCCATGCGCATTGCATACCGTGTCTACTCCTTTGTATTTGGCCCGATAAGTCTTGGTTCACAATATTCCATCCTGGCCTCAAACAGTAGAGAACTACCCCGAGTATTACGATAGATCCTTTCCTTGGCTATTTCCTGCTTAAAAGTGCAATCAATCTCTAGCGCGGACTTTCTAAACATGCCAATTATCCACATGTCAGTCTCTGTTTCCTTCACCTTCTTTTTAAGCGATAGTTCTTTTTGGTTTGGCCCCTTCATCTTTTCTGAGTATTTACCGTTTCCCTCCCATGCGCAGGATAGCAAACCGGCTGCTTATAGGCTGGTTAACCTCCCTGCCATTCTTTTCTATTTTCCTTCTTCCTACCCGTAAACTTTCTGGTTCGCTTACTGCAATATGTATCGACAGTTCCTCATGTACAAGTAGCTGAATACCTTCTTAGTCCAACGCTCCTCCCCCATTTCTCTCAATTCCTTCTCAAATTTTATCTTACTGCGAGCTTCTCTGCCCTCAAATGTTGTCCATCCCATATCACCTTGTACTTTCTGATTTGGTGTATTCCCGTGAGCTCCTAAAACAAGCCTACCTATTCCACGTTGCTTAATTTCTAATCTTGCTTGAACCTCCGATCTTATACACAAGACCGCATTGCTGAAAGGCAGACCAGGAAACATGACCCCTTTCTATATTACTCTCACAACATCTTACCTATTGTAATTACACAATGCCCTATTTTCTATCACCACTGCATTTCTGTTGCCTTTAGTCGTTACGTACAATTCAGCTCTCGCGAACACAACGCCACCTTACCGCTCAATAGTTGTGACACTAAGATCAACTTCTGCGCAAGACATGTGCGCCACGTGGTCCAAGCAACATTACAGAGGGTGTCAGAATCTCCCGCATCCCCCCAAACCTAATTCAAACCACATCTCGAAAAAACACAAAAAAATCAACTGCACAATTTCTAGCGAAAGATTACAACACATGTCCCTAAAGAATGTCCGTGCACGACGACACCGCCACCGGTCGACATGGCTGCGCTGTCCAGCTCAACGAATTCACCTCAGTACCGGTCCCCGCAACAGCAACGTTGTCGTCGGCTCGAAGAACCGTCACTCGCGCCGACAGGTCTTCCGGTTGCGACCAGCACTCACGAGGGCTCCGGATTGCAGGCAGTTGCACAGGTTCCAGGCATCTCCATCGCTCGAACTCACGACTGCATTCCTCGCCAGCGGCGCTGACGATGTGCAGAAGACAGCCAGCCGCGAACTACATCACTCCCGTCGCGTACATTCAAAACACTCGAAAGAACAATGCAGTCGATAGATAGATAGATAGATAGATAGATAGATAGATAGATAGATAGATAGATAGATAGATAGATAGATAGATAGATAGATAGATAGATAGATAGATAGATAGACAGACAGACAGACAGACAGACAGACAGACAGACAGACAGACAGACAGACAGACAGACAGACAGACAGACAGACAGACAGACAGACAGATAGATAGATAGATAGATAGATAGATAGATAGATAGATAGATAGATAGATAGATAGATAGATAGATAGATAGATAGATAGATAGATAGATAGATAGATAGATAGATAGATAGATAGATAGATAGATAGATAGATAGATAGATAGATAGATAGATAGATAGATAGATAGATAGATAGATAGATAGATAGATAGATAGATAGATAGATACGCTAAAGTCACCGAAGTTCACTAAAAAATGCTTCGCAGTTAAAATATCCCAAATCCATTGTTAACGTACGTCCTAAAACCCTTTCCGCTATACGCGGGTGGGAATGTACTGCAGGTACGGGGGTATCTTTCACTGGTGAAGGGCAATTTTATGTTTACCCAGGAACGGCAACAGCACACCTTGGTAATTTCAACGTGATAGCGTCAAAAAAAGCTGATATCAGCAGCGTTGAATATACAACTACAAAGAATAAAAGTCATGATCCAAGCGGGATTAGAACAGAAAAATTTTTCGTGGAAAAAAAGTACTCTACCACTGAGTCACGAAAGGTTCCTATAATGCTTTGTAAAATAACGCTAATCAGGATAAATGTAGGTAAATCGTCGATTGCGGCTCTAGTGCCTGCTAGCCAATTTTACGAAGATTACATGTGTTGTCCTTTTATACAGCCGTCATGTTGGGTTATCGTCGCTAGTTGTTAGATGCCAGCCCCTTGAAGTTAATTTATGTTGCCCATCCTCGCGAGCAAAGGTGCTACACACCACCTTACAGCTCCTGGTGTTACTAGGACTTGTGTTATTCTTCGCATCGTTACACAAGTGTGAAGAAACGGTCATATTACAGATAAGCGACTGTTAAACATAATGATTCATTTGATTGATTGATATGTGGGGTTTAACGTCCCAAAACCACCATATGATTATGTGAGACGCCGTAGTGGAGGGCTCCGGAAATTTTGACCACCTGGGGTTCTTTAACGTGCGCCCAAATCTGAGCACAAGGGACTACAACATTTCCACCTCCATCGGAAATGCAGCCGCCGCAGCAGGGAATTGAACCCGCGACCTGCGGGTCAGCAGCCGAGTACCTTAGCCACAAGACCACCGCGGCGGGGCGACTGTTAAACATATCTGTACAGCATTTGTAGATATTTTTGATGTCATTTCGTAACATTCAGCACTTACAACACAGTCTACTTTCATGCGCATGCTTCGCATAACGTCCATTTCCAAGGTGCGTGGTATCTTCAGAAATTTCAACATTTTTGAGGGCGGTAGGCCGACAAATTTTGTCAACAAAGTCAGTTAACCCACCTTTGAACGAACAGTTGTTGCGTGTTGTGCCCCCAAACACAAGCAAATGGTACCTGCGCGTCATCGAAGCGGTATTTAGAATAGACACAAATATGTGCATCTATACATGGTAAATAATTGCTGTATGACGCCACCCTCACTATAGCAAAACAGATTTATTTGACACGCCTCGGTTGCAAGTCCGTTTTATGAAAGTTATGCTTCTTTTGCCTGTGTCTAATTGCCCGCTGAATGTCTAACGTACTAAATTGAACGCACGAGGTTCTCTCGATGGTTAGGCCACACGAGAACTAGCCATAGATTGTGGCCTATTCCCGTGCCATGTCTGTGAGTCCGAGCTGGTTCTCACTTTAATGACGTCAACAACGCCTCCCAAATATAAAATAGACTTAGAACGAAGTACACAATACATGACCTCATTATTAAAACTTTATTCGTCACATAGCTAGACACATCCCGAGCACTGAAAATTAATGTTGTTAAAGGTATACATATGTTAATGACGTGTTATCAGCCCTGCATGCTAGGCCACGTCATGTATTCGTAAGGTACGTTGCACTGAGTGTTCCAATACGTAGTGGGTTGATTGGGCGCCACGCTCGAGCTGACGTGGTCGAGCTGCGTCGTAGTTCTGGCCGGTTCAGATGCTTCTCATTCGACAAGAGACCTTGTTTTAAAGCTGAAAAAAATAAAGAAGAAGGAATAGCAGTGTTAATGTAGGTGTCCAAATGAACTTAAGGACCAAATTTCACACGCCTCGAACGAATGAACGTTCAAGGAGAGCACAATTTTGCTTGCACTTATCAAAATGACGATTGCTTTGCCACTCTTTTGCAAAAATTGTCACGCATGGAAAGGTCAGGCAGACTTCCCAGAGCAGCGCTTTCCCCAAAAATCACGAACTCCGTGAACACTATGGGTGTTGTAAGTCACCGCTTCTAGCGCAATACATTAACGTGAAACAGTTTTAGTGATATATGAGCATATACCATTGCAAATTTACCCTAGGACGTCGGGTAAAGTTAAAGTTGTATATCGGGCCAAGCTACTCATCTAGTTTGCAAAACTGCATATTAAGAAAGTACTTGTCGAATTTGGCAACAGAAAGCTCGAAAAGTGCATCAGTCGAGGAAAAACACAGGTAAATCGGAGCACTACAACGTGTCTTCGTGCCTGCGCCTGAACCCCTGGCTCGTCAGCACGGTTTAAACGCATCGCGAAGTAATTTTGGCTCACCGTGTAACATGTCGGCGTTGGCAGTTCGCTTGAAGGGTGCGTGGGTGCATCGAGGCATGACGAGCGTTTTTCGAAGGCCTTCCTAGGAAGACTGGGGCTGGGCCAAAGCGACAGCTGCCTGGTGCGCAGAGTCCAGGTCGTTGAAAGTGCCGCGCGCAAAGCCAATGGGATCGCCGCCGAACATCTTGGCGAGGAATTGTTTTTCTGCGTTAGAATATCCTTCCGGCGGTCTGTAGACGGCAACGCACTTCTGCGCCGCCCAGAAACAGAAGCAGTACAGTTGGTGACCCGTATTTGGGTCGTCGCTTTCAGGAACTAACCCGCACATATGGGTAGTTCCACTCCAGATCTTCAACGAATGAGCGAAGCCGCGGTTCGAATCCATCTCGATCAAGTACTGCATCACGAGAGTGGCTTTGGGAAGAGGCACGTGATAAAGAACCCAGGGTCTAATCAGGTTCTTGGCCATTAGAGACGAGTAAATTGCGCACATCTCGCTCAGACGACTATTTGTGTTGCGGATAGCAGTTAAATGCCCACGGATCATGGACACTACCACTGCCAGGGGATGGCCTCTGATCTTAAGACCGCAGAGGAACTCTTCGTCGCCCAGGGAATACAGTTGATCAACTGCAATGCTGCTGAGGCAGTGGCACAGCCTGTCGAGGTCTACAGATGCCATATCAAGCAATGCAAACGGTCCCGAGGAAATGCTTGCCGTTGAAATGGGAAGTGGCCGGTCGTCGATTGTTCGAGTACCCTTGTCCGTCGCTGACTTTCCCCGCCGGCTCCGCGGAAGCGCGCGCCGCTGCACAGTCCGTATTCTACTGAGCCTCCCGTGCGTATGCGAGGAATTGCTGCAGTGATTGCTCTTAAAACGTACACGTATCTTGTGCGATCTTGATAAAGTACTACCGAGATTACCACCAGGGGAAGCTCTGTTCTGCGTTTGGAAGCGTTTCAAATAGAATTTACTTTCAAGCGTTAGATTCTCGAGAGTTAAGTCACGTGAATAGGGACGCCACTGATGATGCCACAGGTACACAGGGCACTTGGTTGTCTTTCTCTTGTCGTAAGGATGCAGGCCGAAGCCTCCTCCAACAACATGCCAGCGATGTCACTCGCTTTCCCGATGGGTAGGGAGGTTCCTTGTAGTTCATCAGCCTCTGAACGGATTGCTCGCAACCTAGTTTCGGTAGTGGTGGAAGTGACGCCACCACGGGTATCGGCATGTCCTCTACGACCGACGCTGGTTGACATGGGACGTCGCTTTCATATCGGAGGCCGAGAGGTTTGGGGCGGCTACCGCAAGGAGTGCAGGCGGCCGACAATATAAGAGGAGAGAAAGGGAAAATGATGACAACCAGCTCTTCTGCTCACGTTGCAAGCACCTAGTTTAGGAGGCGTTGGCTGGAAAATAGTGAGACTCTTGAGAATTGGCGGCGTACGTTTGGCTCTCCCAGAGTCAAACGGTCCAACATTGACACACTCAGAATAGCATTACTTGTGCAACGCTAGGCGGAACCCTCTTTCTCATTCAAATGTTTGCGACCTTGTTACGTTCAGCGTAATAACTCTGCTTATTTCCCGGTGACATTACTTATGTGACTGGCACCGCCTGATCCACTGCTGTGTTCTTTTAGGCCCGCAATCACACAATGCTGCAATATTGATGTACTTACTCAAGGAATGCCGGGGATTGTTCTAAGTTTTGCGTAACTCACAGGATCACATTATTCTTCACTCTTTGACCACAGACATTGCATTGTTTTTTACTCAGCGCAAAATAATCTTCGTCAGGATGTCAAAATAAATGCGAAGACTTATTTCAAAGTATATATAAACTGGTAGCGTCACTTCATTAAAAACCCATGCATCCATATTCGGTGACTAGTTGCCACCGTTGCCCCCTACGTATGGAGGGGACAACTAACAACAAACAAAACTAAAAAAATATGACGTCACAACCGAAAGCAGTAGCGACGTCGTTCATTTACTCTACACGGCACGAAATTGAAACTTTCTTGAACTGAGGACTTCTTGCATGCAGTTATTATTACGCAATTTTATTGCGCCTTATGGCTCACTAATTTCATGTGGAGTAGAAAACAAACAAGAAGCTAAAGATTAATATGCAAAGTTGTTTTATTAGCCAATGGACGCACTTGCAACATGCATGAAAAACTTCGCAGATGCAATTGTGGCACGAATGGTCATGAGCACAACAGCAAAATAGTTCGCAAACCCACGTTTCCCAATCATCGAAAACCACTGCAGTGAGACAGCAGCTTTGAGAATAAAGCTTTCATAGCCACAGAGTACAGCGTCTCGTTGCTTAGCGTGTACCGTTCACCATCACCCAAGGCGAGGGCACGTGGGCTGTGCGCCAGCTAAAGTAGTCGATAGTCACTGGCGCGGCTATCTACCCGTTCTGTGAGCTAGCGCAGCTCTGAAACGTCACACCAGTACAAAGCACTTAAAAATAAGTAAACTACGGTAGGTGCACATTAAACCACCACGGAAAAGGGGGCGATGCCTCGTTATCCTGGGAATGTGCTGAAATAAACACAAGCTGTGATAGCAGATTGCCTGAATACATCCCCCCCTCCCTCCCATTTATGGCGCTCGACGAAGAACTGAGGCAATCAACCGTTTAGCTATGTGTCAGATGCACCGTAAGGGAAGTTTATATTTAACTTTGGCATACATAAAAGTATGACTATTTGAAAGAAAATTATATAGAGTTTCCAATTTTGGCTCTTTGTCCTCACCTCACCTAGTCGCACTTCAATCGTAAGCGGGCGTTTATGCCTGGGGCGATAGGTTTCCCACACTTTTGATTTCATTGATTGATTTGTGGGGTTTAACGTCCCAAAACCACCATATGATTATGAGAGACGCCGTAGTGGAGGACTCCGGAAATTTCGACCACCTGGGGTTCTTTAACGTGCGCCCAAATCTGAGCACACGGGCCTACAACATTTCCGCCTCCATCGGAAATGCAGCCGCCGCAGCCGGGATTTGAACCCGTCCCACACTTTTAGTTTCAAGTTTCGCGACCCATGTAATTTGGCCATGCTCCTTTGGTGTTGCTTAATTATTGATATTGCAGTTCTCTGTAGATTCAACCTTTATGTTTTGTATCTGTTTAGCTTTTTTTTGTCTCTCTAGTGAGACAATAGAACCGGTACCATTCACTGCTCCTATATCACCAACATATAATTATTCTGCACGTGATGTTTGTTTGAAAATAATTAACGTTGGTAGCCTTCTTTTGACTACCGAGTGCAGCGACCACCGTAAAAGGCAGTTTCGCCTCCAAGTCCCTCCTATACTGTTTCGATGCCTCCCTCCTGCAAACCTCACACCCAGCGGCTGCTACTGCTGGTCGTTTCAATTGAAGTTCGCGTCGCTTCTCACTGTTCGGTAGCTGTTTGGTGAGTTGATAAAGGTCCATGAGAAGGAATTGGTGCAACAAAAAGATACGGTACACTGACGATCAACAAGACATTTGTCTTCCTGTCGTCTTTATAGCCAGTGTTCTGTGACTTTTCGTTCCACTGAAACGAACACAGTGAATTCGTTTCAGTGAGTTCTGATTGCAACAAGGCTGCCAAAACCATGCGTTCTGCCAGCTATACCCAGTACACTCTAGTCCAGTAGATTCGGTCCCACCTTGCTAGCACAGAGCATGCGCAGTCTTTCACTCCGAAGTCTGTTTCTGTCTGCGTAAGTGTTGTTGTTTCTCTCACCAAGCTGACTAGCCGTGGTTGTGACACAGTTCGTCGACAGTCTTTTCACCACCAGCGCTACGCTTCCTTGCCGGCGCTACACCTACGCCCGCAAGCGCTGGCCGCTACAGTTTCCAAGACATCTCGCTCAAAACCTACAACTGCAGTGGCGTCGCCTGCGTGGGTTGCGGCGTCGACAAAACTGGCAAGACCGAATCTGACCAGCTACCGCCAGTGAAAGTGGTCACAACATGGCAGGACAGCACTTGCGCAACTTCATTTCTACATACTGGTAAGTCAAATAATCATGCTACTCAGCGCATATTTTTGATCTTATAGCATCCTTGTAGCACTGCTTTCAAGTTCAATAGGTCACCATGGGCCACTTTCCGCTTTATTGCTTAATACGCGATGGGACGTGGAGAGCAATGCGGAACCCAATGATCAGTCAAGCAGATCAACTGCTGAAATTTTCAAGGCAGCTCCAGACTTGAATGACCGCTCAATGCACTTGCTAGCTACGATGAGGGGCCCTGAAGAACTGATTAGAGGGCAGCGTACTTCTGCGGATGACACTTTGGCGATAAAAACATCTCTTGACATGGTTGACAGCACCTCGTCTAATCTGTACTAAGCGGAGTTGTTAATCGTTCTGAAAAAAAAAATGCCTGCGCTTCATCGCCGGCTGCAAAGCGCTCCAGACCATTAGCAGAAAGATAACGTTCTTTTTTTATTTCACGCATAATAGGCACAATGATTCAGCGTTCTAACTTAAACAAAAATTACTTGCCACGAAGAAAACGCTCAGTTTTTCCCTGGATCGTTAGCACATAGCACGGCAACACCGAATCGGTTGCTATAACACTTTTAAAGAATAAAAACGTACCGTAATTGAGCTGACTCGTGGTAAAGGAAACTTATCTTTAAAAGCAGAATATACTTAAAGGTACATTCTTTGCTATGAGGCAAGATGTTTGCAAGGTGACATGTCCAACCGGGAAAGCTCGGTTGCTTTAGCAAAAGGATTGTACAGCCCTTGCGGGCTTCGCTATGAGACACTTACACTTGATGCCAAGAATTAGGAGTTTTACATAGCCATAAAGACAGTTCCCGCTGTTACATCCACTGCCTGAGAAACTCGGTGTCTATCTCTCTGGGATTACGGTGACAAACTAGTGGTGCATTTCCTTCTAGTTGTAGTTGACCTGAAGAGATGATAGGTAAGGTTACTGAACGTTCCTCAGGCGATTTCGTGGTTTTGCGTATTAAAATGGAAAACCGCCTGTTTAAGCAATGCCCAATATGGCCTGCGATCAATAAGGTGGATGCAAATGTGCTTTATCAGAAGATAGATTGTCCGGAAATGTACCCGAATGTGAACTATCGCCTTCGTGAAAAAGCGTTATAAAGTGTGCCTTTCAGACATGCAATGACGTATAGGTAGTGGTGTGTTGCTTCCTGTTGACACAAGAACCAAGTTTTTAAGCAAATCTTGAAACAGCCTGGTGTCTTCGGTGAACTAACGAAATGAATTCAGTTATTGGTTTCCGATATCAAACTTTTACCACTACTTTTTTCTGTATTATTGTTCCCAGGATTACTGAGCGATGACCTTGATATATCGTTTTTTTTTTACAACGCGACCAAAATTTTCAAAACATATTCTCCCACAACTACCCTCAGTCCTCCATCTTCCAAATCTTATTCTTAGCTTAGAAGTGCATGGGCGTAGAATAGTTGGTGATTCGCGGTTAGCAATGGTAACCGTATACTATTCCATGGGGATACAGAAACCACTTCGTGCTTTTTCTTTCTGCGCCCCATGTGGTTTCGCGGTTATCTTTGCTAATTGTGATTCAAGGCATTGCATCGAATTTAACCAAACTCAACCAAGTACGCAATCAACTCGCGTCACACCCACGTCAATCAACAAGCTGGAGCAGGTTCTGACATCTTCGCCGGATATCCTGTCCACAATCTTTTTAATGCCTTTCCTTAGAAAACATGCTATAATTTACGTCACTATGTCCCTGCCGTCAACACGTTATCAGAATCAGCCGAAACTTATAGGCGGTCACAAAAATGCTTATTGCGT